GGACACCTGGAGGCATCCATTGGAGGGGGTGGGGTACTGTCAGGGTTCTCCTCTGACTTCTGTCTGTCTGTCTTGTCTTTGTTTAATGTGTCTTTGCTTGTATTTGTTTGTGTTTGAGCACATGACTCTGTCTTTATTTGTGTTGGCCATGTGCTCCTCTCATCTAGCCTCCTTGTTTCCAATTATCAGGCCATGAAGACCTCTGTTTTATATATACTTCAGTTGAGAGATTGAGATTGAGAGACTTATCTTTATTCAACCCGAGTACATGAAAGAGTTTGCGCATGCAGCAGTAGGTTACATGACCCTGACAAGTGAGTCTAATTTTATTTAGCATATTCTGTAAAAGTTCACAGCCATTGTAGCTAGATCTGCCATTTATCTGATAAGCTCCAACCACAAGTGTCAGAATCTGTAAAAAAGAAGATGCATGGTGTCATATTTAATGCTTAATGGGGTATTTGAAAAGGAAACTAGACAGAAAACAGTTGAGAGGCATTTTAGCATGATAGGTATTAGTTTCACAAGTGTGTTTGTTGGTCCCAGCTATAAAAGATCCCTGTCATGATTCAGAACTGCAGACGGTAAGTGAAACTGCATCAAATGTCTGTGTTTTGTTGGCAATTGGAGCTCAAGTGCTCGTCAATCTTTAGCTCCGACCACAGCACGCCTCCAGGAGCTCGGCTGTTTCCGGAGAGAATTGTAAAGCTGTATCTTTCTTTTATAAATATGATAAAACTAAAGACATTTTTGGAGATATGAAGGATGCAGTACTACTCTATAGGTACTCAAGATTAACATGAGTTTGGGTGAAACTGTGTGTGTTATGTCCCATTTAAATTTTCCTAGTTGATAACTGGACATGAATGGCTTCCCTAGTCGTATTTACAAGTGGGAATCTCAAACAAATTTTTGCTGAATTCACAACGTCGTATTTACTGTGATTTCAAGATGACAACATGTGACGTTCTACTTGGAGCTGTTCAAACCCTTGTACTATCAATGCCTAAGCACAGCGCAATGAATCTAAGGTGGTCAGGTTGTACAAGTTGTAGCTCTCAGAAAACTCCCAGGTCACAAGTTGTAGTTACGAGTTCTACAAGGACGTGAATGCTTTTTACAAGTTGGTATCTCGTAATCACGGTAATTACGATATTACAATACCGAGTTTCCGAGTTTGGCGAGCCATAAACTTTAAATATGGTGGAGGAGAGAAACATAGCAGTAGTACCGTAAAGTTTTATTTGTTTTTCTTATATCTACATTGCTTTCTCCCGCCATTACAGTCATGTAAATTCACGTATAAATAACCATTTAATTTATATTGAATGCAGCGAAAATACCGAAATTCAGGAATCGTCAGCCAGCTGAATATCTAGATAGCGCTGTGTATTTTTATATGGCTACCAATTAATTGGATGCTACATTTTATTCAAAACTTGTTGGATATTGACTAAATATCTTCCAATCTACATTTTGGCTTTAATAAAATTTCCCCAAGAAACAGGCAAGAATGAATACAGTAGGCTGTCCACCATGATTTCTGTGCTTTCCGGCAACAAAACACTTAAACACAACAAACTCATAATTACAACTTCAGAAGTGGGAAGTAGGAAGTTTCTGATAGCCGGTGAAGGCAGCATTACTATTTTTGTCATTCCTGCCCTTGTTAATTTGCCCTCAGGTGTGTGTCATTATCTCCCCTACTTAAGTTCCGATCTCTTTGTGTTTCATTGTTGTGTCTCATCTTTCCAAAGTTGTGTTGAACTGACTTTTTCCCTGTTGGATTTACCCTGTTTCAATTATTAAATACTGTCTGTAACCTTCCTCATCCTCTTAATGTGTACTAAAACACAGCGTTGTGACACCAGTCTTCAGTGTCACACGATCCTTCAGAAATCATTCTAATATGCTGATTTGCTGCTCAAGAAACGTTTGCTATTATTATTATCAATGTTAAAAACCATTGTGATAATGTTTTTGTGGAAACTGATACAATTTTAAGGATTTTTTTTATATGAATATATAGCCTTTATAATTTATCATATAAAAATTATAATTTTCATAATTGTCTTTATTTTCAATGGCGTTCTGTAAATGTTTATGATGGTTGTCTTCAAATATCAAATTGTCTGTTTGCAGTTTCATATCTGGTTAAAAATACCATTTCTAATTAATTTAAATCTCTACACACTATATCAATGTATATTATGTTTATTGAAAGAAGATTTAGAGGGTAAATCTACTCAACCCCCCCACCCATTTTATTTGCAAGATTCAATTGACATTTCCAGTTATCTTCTTTATCCATGGAATATATGCTGCAATCTTAATGTAAACTTCAGGTAGCTTTAGTGAATTACAGAGATCAGGGTCACCAAAGGAAGTGACACCAACTGCAGTGTCTCCACAAACCAAAGGACCTCCTGAATCCCCCTGTTAAGAAACAGATCAACACTTCAGTCACATGCTGTCATAATTCATAAATAACACTTGTTTAAACAATAAGATTTGGTGAATCAAATATTTTTTACATACATCACAGCTTCCACCATTGCCATATACACACATCATCTGTGAAGTTGAAAAGTCGTCCTTCCCCCATTTACTTTCACATTCCATATTATTCATGACTGTCACATTTGTCTCCATGAGGTGATCGCTTCTCTTGCCATTAGTTTCTAAAAGTCCCCAGCCTGCGATACTGCAAACAGAACCTGCTTCGATATCGCCTTCTTTCGCTGGTATGGATATCCACTTGATATTGTCATTCAGTTGTACTTTTTTTTCTAACTGTATTAATAATAATAATAAAAAACGCAGCACCATTAATAAAAAAATGTGATTATCTTCTATAATATACTGTCTGTTATTCTGCATGAAAGTTTAAATAAGTTTAAAATAAAATATTTCATATATTTAAAATAAGTTTAAATAAGTGCGGGTTGTCACCTTCAAAAGCAAGATGTCATTATGAAAGGATTCCATGGTGAAGTCTGGATGCTGATGGTATGAATCCACTGTGAATCGGACTGAATTCTCGCTCTTTTTTCGTAGGTCATGTGCACCTAGCACAACCGTCAGAACTGGAGAACTGATAAAAGGACAGGTTTAATTTAACAGTAACTTTTTTCACAGTCTGCTATATATTCATAAATATGTTCTGAAGTAACTTTGCAATTACACATCAACTAACTCTCATTAAAGTATTAGTAGACTGTTAGGTTAGGATTATGGTTAGTAGAACAAGTTGACATACTCGCAAAGTTACTTATTATCAATAAAATACCTGTTATCAAAATAAACTGTTATCAGATATTTAGCAGGCAGTCTACTAATAATCTAATGACTGGTTGTTGCAAAGTTACTTAGTTAATTAGTAGAATGTCTAAAGTGGACTATCAAAATAAAGTGTTATATTATCTAACATATATAATTAGCTAAGTTACTACTTGTCTTACTTGTTTCGGCAATGTGCAGCAGTCATGACAAATCTATCAGAGATGAGGAATCCACCGCACATATGATGCTCCTTTGTTTGAACAGACACCATGTAAGGTCTGGAGTGGGGTTTTGCTTCCCTGCCGTTCACTATACCCACATTCACACGAGCTGAGAGAAAAAGTGTTATTATAGTTCCTCCTTACTGTCTTACTGTATATGTGCTATAAAACTTGGTTTATTAGTTGTTTTTTTTTTATCAGTCTCACCAGTGAAGGTCAGGTGTGGCAGCAGAGAGGCCAGCAGGAGCAGAGAGATGATAGTCATCATGAAGACAATCAGTGAATCAATGAGCTTTCACTGGCTATATTAGGTATAAATATCATAATAAGGAGGGTGGAGACACTGAGCTTCCCGTAACTTGTTACTTTCAGTTTGTGGTAACAGTAACTCAGTATGGTAATCAGTAGATAGTAATATTTGATAATGTTTGTGGCTTGATGAGGCTTCGGTCGAAGGCTTCAATCGTCATACCACAAAGATTTGTGCCATTTGATTAATTTGAAGCCATTAACTTGCAAACAGTGCACAGAGCCTTGAGCTCAAAGAAGCAGCATGCAAATCTATCCATGTTATCTCTTACTGCATGAGATGAAAAGAAAGACATTAGGCTACAGTAATGTTTAGCTAATCATTAATATGAAGTGATGATAAATTAGTCTTTGGGCTGTTTTCAGCATCACTACATTGCCACCCTTCAACTCGACAGTTTGAACTAACTAAACCTCAACCGTCATGTACATGTTTTTATTTTTATTTTTTCTCTACAGTCTATACCTCTAGTCTAGAGGGCACGATGAGTGCATGTAAGCATGCTTCACACACACTGTGTCTTTTACAGAATACTGTGCGAGTGAAAGACTTACTATCATTATTCAGCTCAATTTTGTGAAAGAGTTTATGTATGCAAAAGTCATGTGACCTGTGAAAATTATTATTTTGCATATATAATATAATGCATTTCCTATATACACAGCTAACAGAATATGTTCTAATAACATTGCTAAAGTTCCTATTAAGTTATGATTTTTTTTTTTCTTTTCTTAATGTTCACCATTAATATTTTCCAAACATTATGGGAACGTTGGTTTTGAATGTTCTCTGAAACAAATAGTAACTTTTAAACCTTTTTTTTTTTTTTTTAATAAACTTGTGCTTAGGTTTCAGATTGTGGTCTTTCTTGAAATAGCATGCAGAGCAAAAGCTGAGGCAGTTTACACCCTTTAGATGGATGTAGTAACACTTCACAGCCATTGTAGCAAAATCTGCCTTTTAGCTCATAAGCTTCAACCACAAGTGTCAGACGAAAGCACTGGGCATTGAAAAGCTGTAAAAAGAGGACGCATGGTATCACATTTAACACATGTGTGTGATATGTACAAGACAAACTTGAATATACATGGGATAAAATAAGCCATTATGAGCCATCTAAGCATGATAGGTGTTATGTTTGTGGTTTTTATAAAAGTAGGGCTGCCATTACATGCAATCTGGATTACGTTATCAGATTATACAAATTAAGTACTCATAACTGGATTGCATTTTAAAATGTTCATAATCAGATTTTTTATGGATTAAATGATTACATATTATTCATAAAATGTCAGAAAATTATTCATAATTTACTGATTCTCCCTAATGCTTCTTTTTCTCTTGTAAAATTTCCTTTCCAAAAAATCTTACTGTGAGTCTTACCGTTTAGCTTTGACTATATTCACAATACACTCTTAAAAATAAAGGTGCTTCACGATGCCATAGAACAGTGATCCTCAAATCTGGCTCGCGAGATCCACTTTCCTGCAGAGTTTAGCTCCAACCCTATAATCAAACAAACCTACCTGTAGTTTTCTAATGATCCTGAAGACATTGATTAGCCAACTCAGGTGTGTTTGATTAGGGTAGAGCTAAACTGCCACTGCCATAGAGGAACCTTTTTGTCTAAATGGTTCCATTAAGAACCTTTAACATCTGAAGAACCTTTCTGTTTCACAAAAGGTTCTTTGTGGTGAAAGAAGGTTCTTCAGATTATAAAAAGGTAAGAAAGAGATGGTTCTTTAAAGAACCATTGACTGAATGGTTCTTTGTGGAACCAAAAATGGTTCTTCTATGGCATCATTTGAAGAAACTTTTGAAGCACCTTTATTTTTAAGAGTGTATATAATGGCCATGTTTATGTCATGTAAGTAATTTTGTGATCCATGTGACAGTTTCATGATGTTGTATTGTAACAAGTACATGTGTATCACATGTGCTTGACATGTGATACATTTATTAGAAGACTTGGAAACATTTTTGATTAAGCACTACACATATTCTTGTGTTATCATCATGTCAATTAACATTTCCAATTATGCTGATCCATGGAAGAAATGCTAAAATCCTGGTATAGTCAACACAAACTCATCAGAGATGAGGAATCCTCCACAGATATGGTGCTAGTTCTTCTGAAGAGAAACCATGTAAGGTCTGGAGTGGGGTTTTGCTTCTGTGCCGTTCACTATACCCACAATCACACGAGCTGAGAGAGAGACAGAGCTGTAAGTCAGCTTATTCAGTACATACCAATTAAACATTATTTAAAAATCAGTGTAATATGCTGTTATATAATCAGTCTCACCAGTGAAGGTCAAGGTGTGGAAGCAGAGAGACCAGCAGGAGCAGAGAGATGATAGTCATCATGAAGACAATCAGTGAGTGTTTGCAGTAGAAATGGAGTATAAATATAAGAGTGGATGGAGACTCAGCTTGTGATGTCAGTAACATTGAGAGTAAGAAGATAAATTCTTTTTAAGCCTTGTGGACTCATGTCCAAATCCAAAACTTGTTACTATTATGTTTGTACCTCATCTAGCAAGCATCAATACTGACACTGGTGTGTGAAAAAAAGCAAGGCCCAAAGTACCTTCAAGGCAAGTTCACTCCATGGCCAACTTTGTAATGCACTGAGCCACTTTTTTCCTACATAGGTAGCACATACAAATACAGTACAAACATTCCGACATTAAAAATTAAGACTGATTTAGTGATTCTATAACATATTTCAAATCACCACTATAATCTGGGGAGAGAAAAAAATCAGGAATTTTGTAATTTCCACACATAATCCTACAGGGGGCACAATCTTATAGCTTGTTCTTTATGTTGCAATACATTCTTTCTGTCAGAAGAGGCCTCTATAAACACATCTGATGTGAGTTTTAGATTCGCTTTACCAGGTCCCTGTGCAAAATGCCACAGAAAGTGACGAGAGTGTTAAAATATATAAAATATAGATGCAGAAATATATTATAATTATACTTATATACTGTACTTCATTATATCTAGTGTAGTATGGATTCATATTATTTGATATCTAAGTGGACAGCATACTGTGTTTTTTTTATGTGGTTAAGTTACAAAATGTGTCCATAAAGATATAAACTGCTTCTGAAAATAAACTTTAGGGTGCAGATAACCCTTTAGTTTCTTCTTGTATTGATTTCTTTCCTTTCTTTTATTTAAACTTATTTGGATGGTTACAATTCTGGTTATATAAATATCAGCATTTTAATATGATTCCGTGATAGACGTGGAGGCCAGCCCAGATCAAACTATGTTCTGTTCTGAAGCCAAAGGCACAACTAGATATCTGACAACATGTGCATGCACACACATGTCTGCTCGATATGACTCATTTTTAAATGTTATTAGTCCAATCAATAACATACTGAATCTGGAAATGAACAGGCTCAGACAAATCAGACGAAACCTGTATGTACGTCTGATACAGCCATCAGTATCAAGTTATCTTCACTGTCAGAAAAAAATAATGGCTGACAGATGAAGCTGAAACCTTATTGGCTAATACACTCAGTGTGTCTGATACTAACCCAATGGAAAGTGTCCAAAATAAATGGCCTGGTCAATGCTAGACAAGCTTATTTTACCAAATGTGTTGGATTGGAGGAAAAGAAACTGATGAAAACCTCACTTTAAACATTTACGAGGGAAAATTCAACTTGCTGTTCAGAAATATCACAGTTCAGATGGTGACAGAAGACAGAATATCTAAGATAAGAACCTCTCATACACATAGACAAATGGCAGAGATTTGGCATGATTGAGGATTCCCGCCAGTGTTAATTCTGTCAAAGGAGTTACAGACGTTCGTTAACGAGGGGGTTTTCATTATTATTTCCTCCACGGTAAAGATACACACTTTTAATTAGCACGTCAGTTGCTGTTGATGAAAACACAACATGTTATTAACAATGTTTTTGATGGACTCGCTTGAGCTGCGTAAACTGAAGCTGATCAGTGAATGAACAATAGTAAAATAAACTTACATATGAATAAAATGACGCAAATGCAAAAGTGAACTTGAATTAAGTTGCGCGCTAGTCAGACTGTGTAATTCCCATCGACAATATGCTCTTTCCGTATTAACGTGCTGTACAGACAATAAAGCATACGGAATTACAGTAATGTATAAGCTAATCATTTTGTTATTTTAGAAACTCAGGTTTTCACAAGTGAAACATGTGAGACAAGTTTAAATTAATATGTAAAATGTCAATATTTGGTTAGTTGATTTTTTACTAAATACTATTCTTGTCAACTGAAATTGGATGCCTTTTAAGTCAAATTAAGTAAAATTGACTAAAATGAATGAATATGACATGGCAAAATATTGACTAAATTTAAAGGATATTTCGATCCCCAACCCATTAATACGAAAATTAATACTGTTTGATCCCCAACCCAACGCCTTTTCCAGTCCCTCAAAAGCCAAAGACAACTTTACGATGCTGACTGGGATGGCAGCCAATATAAGGCCTGCTTCAACTGCCCAAAATCTATAACAATGGACAGCAACCCCTCCTCACGGCAGCCTGCTCAACCCACTCGCCAGCGTTTGGCTTGCCCGCAGGCATTCTGGGAATGCCAAAATGGTGCAGAAGTCTGTGGAGACTTTGTGGTGGAGACACATACCGCGACAGTGGCATGGCGGGGTTCATGAGGGCCACGAGGCGCTCACACCACTCCAGGATTCATGTGCGTTCAGTAACTTCAGACAACACACACTAATCCTCGACGTGATGACAATCGACACTGTGATGAATCTTATCGTGACTGCCAAGGTTGAGAGAAAGAGAGCGATCGCAAGAGTATAAGGACGAGGGGTTTCTGAAAGCCTTTTTTTTTTCAGCCTGAGAGTCATGCAACAACTCATTTTAACTGCCATCCTAAACTGTCTCGCACAGATGCAATGCTGTAAAGCCAGGCTCTTTGACAGACTTGAAAAAGCTATCATGCTATATGTAATGAACATATTGGCCTCAAAGTAAGTAGAGAATGGACGAAATCAAATGCAGAAATAGTTGGAGGCTAAAGAACTATTGAATTGCCTACGAAACTGGATTGATTTCAAAGCAACCCTGAGAGTTGCCCCAACAAATTGAGGAAAATTTAGATTCTGTTCATTCTTGTCTCTAAATCAGGGAGCTGTTCGTGAGGCGAACTTGATTTACATTGAAAACACTGAAAAGGTTCACTGGTTATTAGTTGCAAATGTTGATCCTGCAGATATTTTTTGGCCTTTAAGGCGATTATAAATGAAACAGATGGAAAAAAACAACAACAAGAAAGAGAAGAGGAGAGAACGAAAATACGGCTGTTTATCACAGTTGTACAAGACTATAATGTAAATGGACTGAGCAGTTTTGAGTGAGTGACTGACTGATACCATCTCTGTTATGGATACATAATCATTACCTGAGATTATCACTGTCATATTTTGTATGTTATTCCTGCCGCGACGTCGCAGAAAATAAAAACCGTTTAAAAAAGTAGAATCCCGTGTCGCTTATTTTCACGTGTCGCGGGTGGTTAGGACAAAAATTACATGGAAAAGATACTTTTTATCGCGTCGTGCCTGGTAGGGACACACTGTGTTACACAAAATGTCAATGTCAACTTTGAAGACATAAGGGTTCTTCCAGGAATCCCATCATAAGGGAAAGGTTTTGAGGTACTTGAAATATATTTTGAAGTTCCTTGCACAAAATAGGATATTTGAGTTTTGAGGGACCTTCAAGGGTTTCTTACATGTTCTCCTAAAGGTTCCTAGTGTGGCAGTTAATTGTCCTTTTATTTTTACATTGTAGGTCCAACAAAGAATTCTCATATCAAGAACCATTTGTGGCCACTACAACCATTTATAGAGTTGACCTACTGTACATGTTTTTGGGTTTTTTTGGAGAGTAAAACAAGTTCTTGATGAGCATATTGGTTTCTGAACATATTTGTTTATAAGAACCAGAGAATAAATATTCTTTGTGCAATTAGTATCAGGCTAAAAACCCTTTTAGATCTCTTGGCCTTCTATTTTGTGTGCGATTTTCCTTCTGAATAGAGCTTTTCTACTGTTTTCCAAGCTTTGCAGCCCAAATGTGACCATATCATGAAGTTTTGTTGGATCATTTGGTCAAAAGTAGTAGCATTAAGAATTTCCGTTGTCATTAAACTTGCAAATAAGATGAGAATCAATGAGGCTAATAAACCACAGCACTCCTGTAATATAATATATACGCACATACTTCAGCATACCCCATTAGTTTCATCGCCTTGTTCAAACACATATAACTACACGAAATGTCAACCAACATTTCACACAGTGAATAAAATCCTTTTACTTTTTGACTAACAGGCGAGATGGGCATAGAAGTCTCCG